CATCCCTCCATCTCCCCCACCATCCCTCCCTCTCCTTATCCCTCCAACCATCCCTCCATCCCTCTCCTCATCCCTCCATCCATCTCCCCAACCATCCATCCCTCCAACCATCTCCTCATCCCTCCAACCATCCATCCCTCTCCTCATCCCTCCATCTCCCCAACCATCTCCTCAACCATCTCCTCATTCCTCCAACCATCCATCCCTCTCCCCATCTCCCCAACCATCTCCTCCTCCAACCATCTCCCCATCCCTCCAACCATCTCCTCATCCCTCTCATCTCCCCAACCATCCATCCATCTCCCCAACCATCTCTCCCTCCAACCATCCATCCACCTCTCCATCCATCTCCTCATCCCTCCAACCATCCATCTATCCCTCCATCTCCCCACCCATCTCCTCATCCCTCCATCTCCCCAACCATCTCCTCATTCCTCCAACCATCCATCCCTCTCCCCATCTCCCCAACCATCTCCTCCTCCAACCATCTCCCCATCCCTCCAACCATCTCCTCATCCCTCTCATCTCCCCAACCATCCATCCATCTCCCCAACCATCTCTCCCTCCAACCATCCATCCACCTCTCCATCCATCTCCTCATCCCTCCAACCATCCATCTATCCCTCCATCTCCCCACCCATCTCCTCATCCCTCCATCTCCCCAACCATCCCTCCATCTCCCCAACCATCTCCTCCTCCCTCCATCTCCCCAACCATCTCCTCCTCCCTCCATCTCCCCAACCATCTCCTCCTCCCTCCAACCATCCATCCCTCTCCTTATTCCTCCATCCATCCATCTCCCCATCCATCCATCCATCCCTCCATCCATCTCCCCAACCCTCTCCTCATCCATCTCCCCAACCATCTCTCCATCTCCTTATCCCTCCAACCATCCCTCCATCCCTCTCCTCATCCCTCCATCCATCTCCCCAACCATCCATCCCTCCAACCATCTCCTCATCCCTCCAACCATCCATCCCTCTCCTCATCCCTCCATCTCCCCAACCATCTCCTCATTCCTCCAACCATCCATCCCTCTCCCCATCTCCCCAACCATCTCCTCCTCCAACCATCTCCCCATCCCTCCCTCCATCCATCATCCCCATCCATCCCCCCAACCATCTCCTCATCCCCCCAACCATCTCCTCATCCCTCCAACCATCCCTCCATCTCTCCAACCATCTCCTCCTCCCTCCAACCATCTCTCCAACCATCTCCTCCTCCCTCCAACCATCTCCCCAACCATCTCCTCATCCAACCATCTCCCCAACCATCTCCTCATCCATCCATCTCCCCAACCATCTCCTCATCCATCCATCTCCCCAACCATCTCCTCATCCATCCATCTCCCCAACCATCTCCTCATCCAACCATCTCCCCAACCATCTCCTCATCCAACCATCTCCCCAACCATCTCCTCATCCAACCATCTCCCCAACCATCTCCTCATCCATCCATCTCCCCAACCATCTCCTCATCCATCCATCTCCCCAACCATCTCCTCATCCATCCATCTCCCCAACCATCTCCTCATCCATCCATCTCCCCAACCATCTCCTCATCCCTCTCCTCATACATCCATCTCCCCATCCATCCAACCATCTCCCCATCCATGCATTTCTTCCCCACATCTCAGCTCCATCTCCCCTCTTTCAGGGTCAAACCCTTCCCCCTCCTCCTAGGGCTCCCCTCCCTCATCAAGAGTCCCTCCCCATCTCTCCTGGAGCCCCTTGAGGGATGGGTGGTGGGACCACCAGAAGGTGGTGGCCAAGGGCTCCGTGTCCAGATGGAGATGGATGACCAGTGGTCCCTCCCTACAAGGGGGGTGGGTCAGGGCAAATTTTGGGGGCTGGTGGCATCTGGGGGGGGTTTTCAGGTCCTTCTCCCCACGGTGCCACCCTGTCCCCCCAATATCTGCTGTCCTCCTCCCCATAATTCTTCTCCCCTCAGAGCTGCTGACAGTCCCACCCCGCGCCGG